GTGAAGATGTCTACCCTGAAGTGAAAAGACTGTAAATAGCATGGGCAGGAATGCAAGGTTGTTAGGATTTGCCTCCAGAGGAAAAGTTATACTTGGGGAAGAGATTGAGCAGTTCTGGAATGAACAAAGTCAAAATTATTTTCATTGCTACTTCATAACTGTAATGTTGCCACTGTTATGAATCGTAATGTAAATATCTGATATGCAGGATGGTCTTAGGCGACCCCTGTGAAAGGGTCGTTCAACCACCAAAGGGGTCACGACCCACAGGTTGAGAACCGTTGACCTAGATAAATGGGCTCCTCTTAAAATTCTAACCCATTCCTTGCATCAAAATGGCTGGATGTGTCAAATAACCATCGAAATGTGCCGAAAGCTGTTCTAAGGTCTTTATGTGCATTATTCCATTCAAGTTCCATTCAACCCTTGGTGGTCAGTTTTCATATTACAAAGGAGGAAACTGAGGCACGTCAAATCTGAATAACTTATCCAAGGCTACAGAGCTTGAAAGGGTAGGGCTGACCCCCAGCAGTCTGCGGTCATTGTCTGCACATTTCTTGCAAGTTCTCCAGCTTCCAACACTGAAATAGCTGAACGCCCTGAGCCAGAAAGCCTAGGGGCTAGTGCCAGAACAGGGTTCTAACCTGGGCTCTGACGCCTCCTCCCTTCCTCAAAGGACGAGGGTCCCCCTGGCATGTTCAGTTGCCCTAGCCCTCCCCACAGCTCCTTCCTGCTTCTGGGCCTCCTGCCACCTAGGCCAGCCTGGCTGAGTCTGCATTCAGCAGATCTGAGCTGCAGAGAAACTTCTCCAGGCCCCAGGCTGTGCCCCCTCCTTTGCTCTCTGTACTCTCATGCACCACCGCTGTTAACTATAATTAAATCATTCTTTGATCAATTATTTGTTTAGTGTCTATTTCCCTACTTCATTGTAAACAGTGGTGGTTCCAGAATTTTTATGTGGGTGGGGGCAAGTAATCTGTCTGGGTTGGGGGACTTGGCTTTCAGTGCTTTGTACTTGACAGAAGGCTGAGAAATGTCAATTGAACAAAGAAATGAATGAAGGTGCCGCTTACCCCAATCGCACCCCCACCGTGATGTCACCGCTGACTGTGAGTTCCATAGTGTCTATCTCTCTTATCACTGTAACCCCAACACCTTGACACTGTGCCTGACACATAGGAAGTGCATAATAATTTTTTGTGAAATTAATAAATAATTGAAAGCCGAGGGGCTAGTACCAGAACAGCGTTCTAACCTGGGCTCTGACTTCTTATCTGAAAAAGAGCAATGATGAGACCCAGACACAGCTTTTTTTGTTGTTGTTAATCCTCACCCAAGGATATTTTTCCATTGATTTTTTTGAAAGAGTAGAAGGGAGAGAAAAAAAAAAAAGAATTAAAAAAAAAGTAGAAGGGAGGGGGAGAGATCGAGAGAAACATCCAAGACACATTGATTGGTTGCCTCCCCCATACGCCCTGACCAGGGCCTTGGATTGAGGCACATGCCCTTGACCAGAATCAAACCTGGGACCCTTCTGCAGGCCGGCCGCTCTATCCACTGAGCCAAACTGGCTAGGGCAGAACACAGCTTCTTAAAGCAGCATTACATAGGAAAACATGCTGAGCATAGGGCTGGCACACAGTAAGCACTCCACAGATGTCTGTCACTGAATTGGAATTCCTGCCTCACTCCCACTAACTCAGCTTCCCAGGTCCTGGCCAGGCCAGCAGTTTAATAAGAGGGCAAAGCCCAGAACTGAACCCACTCCACTTCCCTGGCCATGACCTGGTGGGGGTGAAGATGTCTACCCTGAAGTGAAAAGACTGTAAATAGCATGGGCAGGAATGCAAGGTTGTTAGGATTTGCCTCCAGAGGAAAAGTTATACTTGGGGAAGAGATTGAGCAGTTCTGGAATGAACAAAGTCAGATCAAGTAGCAAAAAAGTCCAGCACAGGCCTACTGGCTGCCCAATCCAACAGAAAGGATGTGGTGTCTTTAACCTGTTAAGGAAAAAATGTTTTGAATCCCCCCACTATTTTTAATTTTGTTCCCCCACCCACTGGGCTTTGGGCAGTTGGAGAGACTTAAAACACAAATCAGAGTGTCACGACCTTACTTAAAAACTCATAAGAGGGTAATATCTGAACTGCTCACTGGGCCAACTTCAACCTTACTCTTCAAGCTGTTGCCACGGAAGTCTTGGGTCAGCACCTCCATGTCAGGCTTGTCCCCACACAGGGGTTCCACCCAGGCTCCCTCTGTCTGACATGTCTCCTCAAACACCCTCAGGCTCACTCCTTCAGTCATCTGGACTCAACTCATAACCACACGCTCTCAGGAAAATAGTCCTTGATGTCCAAATTAAAATCACATCCCTCTCCCACTCCCCATATCCCAGGACCCGACTTATTTTTCCTTCCTAGCACTCATCCGGCCTCAAATCTGTCTTCTCTCCGAAAGACTGTGAGCTTCACAAGAGCAGGGAGGGCTGTCTGTCTCTCACCACTGAGTCCTCAGAGTCAGGGCAGGGCCCAACACAGAATATATGAATGAATTAATGAATGAATGAATGAATTTCTCATAACAGTTGCCCCAAACTTCTCCTCTGGTTAGGTCCCAAGTAAGAGCAGAATATGGTCTCCAGTACCCTCCGAGTCACTGAATCACACTCTGCTTAGGCATCACAGGCTCCTCCCAGCTCAAGATTGGGGGCTCTCCCATCTTCTCACCATCCGAGCAGTCCTGGCCTCTCTTTACCTCCTCCTTCAGAAAAGCTGGGAAAATACCAGAAATGGAAGGAACACTGTCTCTTGGCTAATTCCTCTAATAAAGGAAACAGGAGAGTAAACTCCCCCAACATCCTACATCCCGATTTTCTTCCATAGTCTAGAAAGGATTTATTTATTCCCATCCTTTTTAAAGGTTTGAGTGAGGCTCATGAGTGAGCACTAGCTGGAAAATTACTGCTCCAACCTTCCTTTCTTAACATGCTTCAATGACTTGCAAGAAACAGGTTTTTAGGTTTGTGAGGCCGAGAGGGATGGTAGCAGAGTAGAAAGAACAGGGTTGCAAAGATCTAGAAAATCAGCACTAGAATTTACTAGATCTTCCATTTACCAAGCGCAGGCCCCTGGGCCTCAAATTCTGTATCTGACAAATGGGAATAATGACATTGAACTTTAATACCTGTAAAGGGAAGTCCTGCACAACTGTAAAATACTCGATTGTCCTCATAGAGGTTTTTTTCTTGGCTTTAAGGAAGGTCTTGACCCGGAAAGGATGATTGAAGTTCCCCTAGGGAGGGCCTGCTCTGCCCCCAGGAGCTGAGTCCGTCAGTCACACTGTAAAGCTGCATCCGAGTAGAGAGAAAACGTTTTAAAGGGGGACTCGGTGACCTTGGGTTCTGGTTTGGGTTTGCAAAATGTTCCTCCGTGGCCTGTCTCCAGAGCCCCAGCCCAGCCCAGCCCCGGGTGCCTGTCATTGGCTCCTCTGGCAACAGGCAAGCTCAGTCCGATCGTGGCGTAGTTAGAAAAAGAGCCTCACAACCTCCAGTGAAGCCAGAACATCAGCAGGACAAATCTTACGGGGGATTCAGGCCCCAGCCTACCTCTGATCCTCGCATCAAAGCCGCCCCCTACCCCTGACTCCCCGGAGGCTACAGCCTCCTCGGTTCCTGGGCGGAGCTGGGCCTGCTGCGAGGGCTCTCCACCTTCCCTCAGTTAGGCCTAATGGCGGGGCCTTTTCTTTTCACCGGTTGGGACTGATACGTTCCCCTTTTCCCCCCCAACCCCCCATCATTAACTGCAAAGAAAAGATCCCCGGCCACTTCCATTTCCTCTGCGGCTCAAGAGCCCTGTTATTTAATCCCGTGGCCACCCCGGCAGCATCCTCTGCGCGGTCGCTCCACCCATCCACCTGGCCAATTCCCCATCGCTCCTGCTTCTCCGGAGGGGAGCTGGTGGGGGTGGTTGGGGAAAGGCGCCTACAGCAGCAGAGCCTTGGCCTTCGGAAATCCGAGGCTCTCAGATCCGCATTGCGTGAGGGCTGGGAAACGCACGGGGGTGTACAGGGAGCAGCTAGTCAGCGCAGCCAGAGGAGGACCGACGGACGCCGGGGGCACTGCGGACGTTACACTGGGGCGAGGGGGAAGGAGTTGCTACGAAGAGAGAGCCAGGTCTCCTCCGCCCAGCAACCAGCATCGCCCTTGGGGGGTAGGGGGCGGGGGGGGACTGGAGCCGGAAGAGGCCTCGGCCCTGTCGCTGTCCACACCCAAGAAATGGGGGAGGGGTGGTCTGCACTCACTCAAGGGAGACTCAGCCTCAGGAAAGGAACGAGATTCATTCATTAACCCCCACTCCACCCCTCTTTGATATGGACGTTTGACGTTTTCTTAATTATTGGTAAAAGCAGCTTCAAGACCCCTCCTCCGACGCCGCTGGTCTAGAGAAAGAGAAGGGTCCCCAGCAGGGGTCTTCCCGTTCCCCGCCCCCACGACTGCCTGGGGCGGGTAGAGATCCCT